TCCACCAAACACTGTCCACCATAGGCAACTGTTATGGTATTTGACACCCCAATGGCACAAGGTTCAGCATCACAGAAAACCCAGATTACCTCAGTACAGCAAACTGACAGAAGAGTGCTGTATGCAACTTAGAAGAACATTCCTACAAAATATAAATAATAACAGTAGGCCTGAGGGCCACAAGTCTGAAGGCCCAACAGACTTTTAAATGCAAGGGCCCTCCATGAGTCTTGTTGACTCTAAACAAGAGGCTTAAATTAAAAAAAAAACACAACCAAACATTACACAATATACCCTCAACCCAAACAAGAGTGCCTGTCTTACAGAGTCCAGCCGCTTCACCCAGTCTCCAAACAGGAGACAAGGGCCTGGCCTTAAATACAAGGGCCCTCCATGAGGTCTTGTTGACTCTAAATAAGAGGCTTAAATAAATAAAAAAATAAAACCCAACCAAATATTCAACAGCGATAGTAAAGGTATACTCTGCAGTCCATAAACTGCTGGGACTTGCTTTGCATGTGCTATTCCCACTGCCATGTGTGCCCTTCCATGCAACTCCTGTTTGCCTGGTAAGATCCGGATTAGTCTCCAAGCTCACTCCAATGCCCCCTTCTCCAGGAAGCCTCCCTTGATCTCCTTTTCCTGGTTTTAGTCCCTCAATCCTATCCCTTTACCAGTTGAGGAAGTGCCTTCTCTATCTCCTGCTGGGGGTGGGAGGCTAAGACCTCTTGTCCTCTACATCTCTCAGGACACGTTCAGTTTACTTGCTGTAGAGGTGACTGTAGCTCCTGGGGACTGATGTCTGTCAGGGCAGAACTGTGCGTTGTAGGAATCTCTGTGTCAGGGGAGAAGGGTGTGTGATAAGACTCAGTGTCACGGTGCAACCGTGTGTCATAGGACTCTACGTCCGGGGAGAACTATGTCGTAGGACTCTCTGTAAGGGTAGATCTGTGCATCACAGGATGGTCTATGTCAGGGGGGATCTTTATATCATGGAACTCGACACCTGGGAGACTTGTACATCACAGGACTCCATCCATGTCAGGGGAGAGTGGTGCAGCACAGGATTTCCTATGTCGAGTAGAACTGTGCATCATAGAGCTCTACGTCAGAGGAGAAATGTGCACCACAGACCCCTCTATGTCAGGGAGAATTGTGCTTCAGAGGATTCTCTATATCAAGGAGGAACTATGACTCGTAGGGCTATGTCAGGGGAGAGCCGTGAATTGTAGGGCTATGTCAGGGGAGCACTTTGTCACAGGACTCTATGTGGGAGAACCGTGCATTGTAGGACTCTCTATGTCAGAGTGTAAAATCAGGGGGCTCTATGTCAGCAGAGAACTGTGCGTGATAGGACTCCATGTCAGGGGACAATGATGTGTCATAGGATTCTATGTGGTGAGAACTTTGCATCATAGGATGCTCTATGTCACGGGAAAACCGTGAGTCCGAGGACTCGTATGTCACGGTAGAATTCTACATCATAAGGACTCTCTATGTTAGGGTAGAACTGGATGTCACAGGGCTCTACGTCAGAGAAGAAACAAGTGTCACAGGTCTTACGTCAGGCTAGAACTGTACATCACAAGACTCTATGTCAGGGGAGGGGAGAGCTGTGCGTCAGAGGACTCTATTGTCAGGAGAAAAATGTGCATCACAGGGCCCTACGTCAGAGGAGACCTGTATGTCATAGGACTCTGTCAGAGGAGAACTGTACACCATAGGATTCTATGTTAGGAGAGAAATGTGCGTCACAGGACTCTATGTCAGAGGAGATCTGTATGTCACAGGACTCTATGTCAGGGGAGAAATGTGCATCACAGGACTTATGTCAGGCTAGAACTGGACGTCACAGGACTCTACGTCAGAGAACTGTACATTACAGCTCCATGTCAGAGGAGAACTATACATCAAAGGTCTCTATGCCAGGAGAGAACTGTGCATCACAGGACTTTCAAAGCCTGACTTTTCAAAGTAGATCACCTGGCCTTTCTCCTGAGGTACTTTTAGGTGGGCTAAAATAGTTTACCTTTCCTTTAACAATTGAACACATTAGCCACCCCCGTACTTTGGACTACAAGTATAAAAATCCTAGAACACTCAGGGAAAGTATTTGCTGGAACAGAGACAGGCTGTGAATGCTGGCTTGGTCACCTTCTAGCCGTGAGGCTGTGGATAAGTCACACCTGCTGACACAAACTCATTTTCCGTCTCTGAAGAATGAGGTACAACAACCTGGCTCAGGTGCAGAGAAGTAGTAAGGGGGGACGTGTATGCAGTCAGAGTGCAGGTGGTTGCCATGACAGGTGAGCCAACCCCCACCGAGGCTGGTCTCTGGCCCTCGGAGGCTTCCGTTTCCCTGCTCAGCTCCACTTCCTATGAGATAAACTCACTGCAGGGTTGAGACCTACCCATCAGGTCACAGAACCCATCCTTGGCCGCGCCTCACCACTGCACCGTAGGATCCTACACAGTGACAGGTGACAGCTGAAAGGACTATTTAAGGAGGCATCTCCAGAGAAGCCCAACTACAATATGGAGACAAAAGTCAAAACTACTGCTGGAGAAAGAGGGACAATCTCCTCCTGTACCAGTCGGATCCGATTTGATGGTACACACACACACACACACACCAAACAAAAAAACCCCAATCATAATAAAAGTCAGAAATAGCCATAGCAAACCCTGACCAGAGCCTGACGGCTGGCCAGATAAACAGAAAAATCTCACATCTAAGTGCTACATGGATCTAAGCATAAAACCCCCACAAAACCCCCTCACCACCAGACCAATACACAACATGACGGCAGATGGAGAAAAGATAGAAGTTGTCAGTGATTTCATTTTACTCAGATGGGACAGTCTGCTGTTAGGAGCCTCTCTAAAGTACTCAGGAGCAACGGTGTCTCTCTGGAGACTAAGGTGCGCCTGATACAGGCCATGGTCTTTGCAATCACTTGTTATGCATCAGAGAGTTGGACAATGACTAGGGAGGACAGAAGGAGAATTGATGCCTTTGAGCTGTGGTGCTGGAGAAGAGTATTGAATGTACCATGGACTGCCAAGAAAAAAACCAGATTCATCCTGGAGAGGGTTAAACCAAGCTACTCCCTGGAGGCAAGGATTCTGGGGCTTCATCTGACATACTTTGGGCATGTTGCAAGGAGGGACAGGTCCTTGGAGAGGGACATCATGCTTGGGAGGGTGGAGGGACGGCGCAGGAGGGGAAGACCCTCTATGAGGTGGATTGATTCAGTGCCTGGGGTAATCGGGATGGGTGTGTCAGAGGCAGTGCGATTGGCACAGGATAGAGCAGGGTTTAGGGCTGTTGTACATAGGGTCGCCATGAGTCGCAAACAACTTGACGGCATGTAACAACAACAACAACCAACGCTCACAAGAGCAGCAATCAAGAAATCAAAAGATGTGCTGCGTTGGGAACATCGGCTGTCGAGGGCTTCTCCAAAAAAGAGCAAGGACGTTAACACGTGAGAGGCCTGATCCAAGCCATGAGGTGTTCTATCGCTTCACGTCCATCTGAAAGTTGAACAATGAATAAGCACGACAGGAGAACCCGTGCCTTTGTACTGTGGTGAGGGCAAAGGGCACTGGATACCCCACTGTCCAAAGGACAGGCAAGTCTGCCTTGGAGAAAAGTGGAACCAGGGTACTCTTTTCAGGCGAGGAGAAAGATAACATGTTGGGAACTGTGGAGGGTCAGAGAAAGAGAGGACGGCCCTCAATGAAGTGGACCAACTCAGCGACTATAACAATGGGTGGAGACTGTGAACATGGGGCCGCAAGGGGCACGGTTTGGATTCGTTGTTTCAGGGTCACTGTGAATAGTAGTCAACTCGACAGCATCCAATGACTACTAACAAGCCCTTTTTTGCCACTGCTCCAAAAATGTTCCTATTTTTTTTTTAAAAAAAAAAGAGGTGAAATGAAAAGGAGACTAGGGACCCAATTCCTGTGTAGCCAGGACTGAAACCAAGACCAGGGGCCCCGGTGTCAAGCCATCCCTCCTCCCCCTTGGCTCGGGACCGTCCTCTTGCAGCTGCTCTGCTCTGTCTACTGCCCCCTCAGTGCTCCCAGAATTCCCAGCCTGGCTGTCAGCATGGATACCAATGGTGATAATGTTCCACTCGGCACCACAGCCACCGAAGCCCCCAGCCCATGGCCACCGAGACTCCCCCAGCCCATTACCTCCGAGGCCTCCAGCCCACAGCCACTGAGCTGATTGATTCTAACTGGTGACAATCCACATGTCAGAGTAGAACTGGCCCTAGGAGTTTTGCATCTTAACAGAAACAGACCACTAGGCCTTTCCTGTGCTGCACTGCTGAGCAGCTCTGAACCACCGGTTAGCTGTTGTCAGTTTGTTGGTTAGTTATTGTTGGTTAGTTGTTGCTGGTTGGGTGGTTAGTTGTTGTGTGCTGTCGAGTCAATTCCGCCTCGCACGGACCCCCTGGGGCACAGTGGAACCTCCCTAGAGAGTTTCTTAGGCTGTAATCTGTGGCGTTGTGCATGATGTATCAGGCTGCTAGCAGAAAGGCTGGTAGTTCGAATCCACTGAGCACTCTTCAGAAGAGAGGTGGGCAGCCTCCTTTCGGTAAGATTTACAGCTGCAGGTCGCTGACTCCAGGACAGGCATCATCTTTTTAGTCACAGATGATCAGGTCTTCCCAGAAGCGCTAAGTGGTTTTGAACTGCCCACCTTTCAGTTAGCATCTGAGGGTGTCACTGCTACCCCATCAGGGTTCCTTTTCCGGTTGGTTTTGAGGGCAAAGCAGTTCGCCCCACCCAGAAAATCTTGAACTGGTGGCCATGCCTCCACCCGCTTCCCAGCCGCTCACCAACCGACAAAAACCCGGCCCGGATGCTCTGAGGCACGTGGGCAGCAAGCGCTTTCCAATCCACTTTTATTTCTTCCAGACTAGAAATATTCAGCGTGCACAAGCCCAGCCGGCCTGGGAGCCTCTGGCTGGGAGCCTCGGGCCTCAGTGGGGGGACCTTTCTGACGACACCCCCAGGGACGCAGCGCTGCAGGGCTGGTCAGAGCCAGTGCGGTTCAGCAGCTCGAGCCGCCGGGAGCGCAGCCGCGCCTGGATGGCCCAGATGGGCGGCTGGCAGCCGGGCAGGGTGGTGGTGTCGCTCCAGCTCTCCACGGTGGAGTCGGAGCCCTCCTCGCTGCTGGCCACCCACTGCTTGCACACGGGGCAGGTGCGCCGGGTGGACCGGGCGAGCCAGGGGTCGATGCACTTGCAGTGGTAGGTGTGGGAGCAGGGCAGGATCTTGAGCTGGTCACCCTCCTCATACTCCTCCAGGCAGATGGCGCACACGTCGTGGTGGCGGGTGAACGTGCGCACCTGCGCCTTCTGCGAGGCCCGTCTCCTGGGGGCCGGGCCTCGGTGCCACCAGCCTGGCAGGCGGCGCCACAAGTAGCGCAGGACCAAGAGGACCGAGGCCAGCAGGGCCAGCGCGCGGCCCAGCATCCAGGTCATGGCCAGCACCGGGTGGCAGTCCAGGACGGAGGATGGCTCGGCGTCCGGCAGCAGCAGGACATGCGCCGACTTGTCGCAGCGCACGATGACCCGCAGGTCCTGCGAGGCGGCCTCGCCCACGAACACAGACGGGATGGCGATCTGCCGCCGCAGGTCCTCGTACACGTGCGCCATGCGCACCAGGTCGTTGGAGTGGACGTTGTGCACGATGGCCGCCTCGAAGCCGGCGCGCTGGGCGTGTAGCACCTTCAGGTCAAACGTGCAGTCGTAGCGGCGGATCAGGACGATGGCCCCCAGCGAGCTGTTACCTGGCTTCGGGCCTTCGATGGGCTGGCATGCGTTGGCCGGCTTGGCCTCCATCAGGTAGCCCCGGAGACCCTCGGGGGCCAAGGGGACCCCGAAAAGCGCGGGCAGGTCAGCAAAGTCCACGGTGCTAGAGTTCCCATCCAGGATGGCCCGCACCACAGCCTGCGAGGGCACCAGCAGGGCCACCAGGATCAAGGAGGTCTTGATGGCCGCCAGAGTCAGGCCTGACCACCGCCTCCCCATGGCCAGCCTCGGGCTGTGTCAAGCTAGGTCCCACTGGGGATGACAGACAGGAGCCCTTGGGGCATTTCTAAGGCAACCCCGGGGGACCGCTGGCCACACTGGCCCCGCTGGGAGCGAGGTGAGCTGCAGCAGGCACTCAGAGGCAGGGGAGCCCAGGGGCCTGGAAGGGTGACCCTACACGCAGACGGCTCCCTGTGGCCCCTGAAGGTGCATCGTGTTGTGGAAGGCTGGTCCAGGAGCACCTGACCCAGGCCACTTTGCAGGCAGATGACTCGAGCCAGGACCCAGGATTCCAGATGCCTCTGTGATGTCATCAAGGTTCTTCCTGACCCCTGGAAGCCCCAACTGCCTGGCCCTGGGTTGAGCGAGAATCCTGAGTGTTCACAGAAGACCCTGGCAGCCTCCAGGAGGAGTTACAGCAGGCTGAGTGCGTCCCTAGCTCCTGGGCCCCATGAGGACACAAGGTGGGCTGGATGTCACCTCCCAGCATTTCCCAGTGACTCGGTGTTACCCCCTGGTGACACTCCCCAAGGGACCTGATGCCTTTGATTTGTGCTATTGGCCAGTATTACCAACTGTCCACTGGCTGCCATAGCAACAAACAAGTCCTATACTGTAGGAAGTGCAACCAGAATCTCCCTTAGAGACTAGGAGGGTGACACGTCATCTCACATACTTTGGGCCTGTTGTCAGAAGACACCAACACTTGAAAAAAAGAGATCATGCTGGGAAGGGTGGAGCAGACAGAGAAGGAGGGGAAGACCCTCCGTGAGATGGGTTGACACAGTGACGGAAGGAGTGGGCTCGAGTGTGGTCGAGAGTGTGTGGATGGTCCAGGATAGCACAGCTTTGATCTGTTGTTCATAAGGTTGCTCTGAGTCGTGCTTGACTCATGACACCTAATAATGACAAGAGATCTGGGCTTGTTCAAGTCACAACCTCCAAGTCCAGTTCTTAAAACCAAATTCCTGCCTGGGGAAAAAGATCTAGGCATTGGGGTCTGTCTGAAAAGTAGAAAACTGGACATAAGGGCACAGGACCATTAGCTTCTCTCTGAAAGGGCCAGAGGGAGTGAGAATAGCACAGCCCTTCCTCAACCCAGAGTAGAAAGCAGATAACGAGCCCATAGCCCAGCCCCATGGTGTTGCTAGAGTCACAGAAGCAGGAAGAGGTTTGTTGTTTGTTGTTGTCTTTGTTGTTGACCCACAGACTCAAAGTTATGGTACCAACAACAGGATTTATTAGGGAAATAAGTTAGAGAATGGGGGAGGCAAAGAATATCACCCAATGCAAATATAAGTTTTAGCCAAAGTTCCAAGGCACCATTCCTTGATTAGTCCATGCTCCAGTTTCAATTCAGCAGTCTTATCTAAATCATCCAGAAGGGTTTGCCTCAGAGCAGTTATAAGCCAGCTTCTCCTTCAGTTATAAGTCAGCTTCTCCTTCAAGCATCTGGCAAAAACCTTTAACTGTGGCTGGCACAAATGCAAGAAGCTTCAGGTCACACCTTGACACAGCTTCTCCACAGCAATGCCACAGTCTCTCCACCACCATCATCAAAGCCTCACTCTCACCACGGTCTTGCTCCAGGTTCCCTCAAATCTTGCTCTCACCAGTTGCCTGCCTTAAGTTTTGCTCTTCTCAAGTCTTGCTGCCCAGTGTGGGAAGCACTCTTTCTCTTATCCTAGTCCCATAGCTGTTGGTGATTTGCAAGACCATGTGTCTGCAGTTGAGGTAGCTGGAGACCAGAGAGGCTAACTGAAATAACTAATACTGCCAACATTTAGGCTAACACCATAGGGTCTTAAAAACTTGCAAGCACAAGAATTGATCTTTATTGTGGGCAACAGAGGAAGGAGGAGAGGGTAAAAGGGAGATGGTAGGAGCATCAGAGCCTGTCTTACTTCAGAAGGAATCAGGACCAGGATCAGTCTAAGGCTTTTTGCCAAGAGGAGGAGGTCAGACACACCACCATCCTCCAACCAAAAGGGTAAAAATTGTCTCCTGCTCCTCCCAGGCCCTCCCTCTTTCTCTTTTGAGTTCTGCAGTTGGCTGTAATGGCCACAGGTTCACAGATCATGTATTTGTTAAGGTTTTTTAAGGAACAAGGTATAACTTGGGGTCAGGATCAGAAGGTGTATAGCCTTACTCAGGATAGGATGGCTCTCTTAATGCCTCTTGGCCATGTAGGTCTCTCAGCCCCTGAGGACAGCAGGACCCTCTCAGTCTTGAGAACAGAGTTCCCTCAGCCCATGATGACAGGTGCCTCTCAGCCACCTGACAGGTCCTCCTTTCAGCCCTCTATGGACTGGCACCTCTCAGTCCTCTGAAAACAGGATCCTTTCAGCCCCTGAGGGCAGGGCCCCTAACAGTCCCCTGAAGATAGGCCCCTTCTCAGCCCTCTGAAGACAGGCCCCTTAGCAGCCCCCTGAGGACAGGTGCCAGCTCATCCCCCTGAATACAGACCCCATAAGAGTCCCCCTGAGGACAGGGCCCTATCTGTCGTCTGAATATAGCCCCCCTCTCAGCCCCCCTGAGGACAGACCCCTATTCAGCCCCCCTGAGGACAGGCCCTTCTTTGTCCCCTTCGTACAGGTCCCCTCTCAGCCCTTGAGAACAGGCTCTTCTCAGCCACCTGAGAAAAGGCCCTCTCTCTCAGCTCCTAAGGACAGGCCCCTCTCAGCCCCCTGAGGACAGGCCCCCTATTCACACCCCTAAGGACAGGCCCCTCTCTGTCCCCTGAGTACAGGTCTCCTCTCAGCTTCCTGAGGACAGTCCCCTTCAGTCCTCTTAAGACTGTCACGACTCAGCCAAGCCATTGGTCACCACTGAATCTGTCAAAGGCCCCTGTTTGGACATGTTGCCAACATCTCTGCCACTGAGTCCGTTCCAAGCCTGTCATTGTCTTGAGTGTTATAACTCTTGATCCGTTTAATGTATCTTCTAAGAAGTTTTGTGTTTCCTCTCTCTCTCCCCTCCCTTCCCTCCACACCTCCACCCCTTTCTACTGCTTTCTGTCTTCAAAACCTCTTTGTGACTGACATTATGTGTGTGTGTGTATACACACACACACAGTTTTAATGAATTTAAAGTATAGATTTTTCACTAAAGCCACAAACTAACCAGTCAACTCTACTCTCAGTAGGCCACAGACATTTCATTTACAAAGTAGGTAACACTTTGCCCCATTTGTATAGTCTGTTGACCAAGCCCTACCGTGTGAACATGCATCCCAGAGCGGGCTGCAGTCAAGGACTGTAAAACAATTCATTTATGGTTTACCCACAGAATAGAACAAACCTTCTAGGGTGCAAAAATGAGGACAAAACTGACTGCTAGGGCCTTAGAGAAACCTCTCGAGCTATTTTTCCAAAGTGTCAAGGCAAAAGACCATATTGTAAAATCCATTTGACCACAAAGAAGTTAGGAATAGGGAGATGATTCAGAATATGTAGCTAATTTAGTCCATGTATAATCAATGGTATAGTCGACACACTTCACCAACACTCTTCAGCACTTTGAAGCAGTTCTTGAAAACAGATATTCTTGTTAAAACACATCTTTCTTCATATTTCTTTTTTTAATTGTTATTAATTTTAATGAAAATACAGACTTTGTATTTCCATTCATTAACTGTTGCACTTTTCTCCCTGTCCACCCCTCTGCCCCAGTACACTCTTCTCTTTGAAAAGTAAAAGAAAAATTCTTTCATTGTTTTAAAATCCCTCCCCACAAGTCCACTCCACTATGTAGCCTTCGTTCCAGACTCCTGTCATGACAATAATAGCTAATCACATGTCCATTTTAAACAGTTTTCTACCTTATCTGTTTCCATACATTATTTATCCCATCTTTTTCAGTCTCCATCCAACCCTGAGGTCAGTCCTGTTTTACAACAGTGGCACTATGCAATATTTGTCCCTGTATGACTGAGATATTTCACTCAGCATAATGTCCTCTAGGGTCACCCATTTTGAATAATATTGCATGAGTTCCTTGTTTTTTAATGCAGCATAGTATTCCATT